CTGTGTGCTTGCAGTGTTTGAGGTGGGCAGCCTTGCCGCGCTCGATTCCCTTATAGCAGTCTGCTGAGAGAGAGCGAGCGGGGCGAGCCCCGTGGGGCTATAGTGCTAAGTTAACATGTCTGTGAGTGAATGTGGGCGCGGGACGGCGGGCACATTTACTGCACTAAAAACACCGTCGGCCTGAGCTGACTGTAACTTATGTGTGTTGGGTTCGTTTTACAGAAACCGTGGGACATGTTGTGTGTAGTGTTTGTGGGCACTGAGTCGTGGGCACGTTCACTAACGTTACATTTAATGTACATTTGACATGAGTCGACTTTATTTGTGCGAGCCCTGCACTGTGGCGGGCTGTGTTTGTGTGTAGAAATGAACAATGGGCTGTGGGCATTTTATTACACTCATAACACCATCGGCTGTGGCCGGAATACCAGAAAATACTACACTGCTTATATGATTTATCTGGGTCACCTTGGAAACGGCATTTGCGTGCAGGCAAGCGTCAGCATCGGTCGGGCACCCCTCCTCCTCCTGTAGCTCACGCCAGCGAGCGAACGCTGGACCAATGGTGATCCTCGTCCTGGCTTTTCATTTGTCACTATGCCTTTTTCTTTTAGTGTCCTCTGACAAAACCATTGCCTTCTTCCTTGTAGCTGTTGGTTCGGCCATGACGAAAACATAAAATATACAGACGGCAACGGCAATCAAACGCGAGTTGAGCACTCACGTCAGAATCTGAGGAAGTTGTGGGTGGTGGGGGAAGTGACGTATGCCGTAAAGCGGTCGAATTTTGTAGTTCTTTTTGTGCTCGGGTTCCTACCCGAAACCCGAAGTTACATAGTGCTAGGAAAAGCGATACAGACACCTTCAGGCTACGGCAGACGTGTCATTCAACCTATTGTAAGTCGATGTACCATCTCAATGGGTTTTGGTAATATATTATAAAGGTTGAAAAGTTCCACAGTGTGCCTTTAAAACAAGATCATTTTAACTGAGAGAGACGCAGAAACCCTGCACATCGAGGGCGCACATTGGCCGCATGCGAGCACCTGAGAGCTTTCTATTCCTCCATTAACACCTTACGCAACTACCACTTTCAAGTCCCAGAAAGGTAGTAAAGACATCCTTAAAGTAATCCATGCGACTCCAGGGGTTTTACTTCAATTTTATAAAGCGATGTGAGTGCTTTGTTTGCACAAAGACATTACCTATTGTTCTCCATATGCAAAAGCTCTCAGATGGCAGAAAGCGATCTACAGTAAACTAGCTCTGGGCAGTAGTGTGTTCGAGCCTTATTATAAATGCATGACCAAACACGACATTGACATTCTGCAGTCAGGTCGGAGGCGCAGGACTCTCTCACATCGCCAACCAAGAAAGTGCATGACTGAAAACCCTCATACAGGTCAGCAACAAAAAAATGTTCACAGCAGAAAATTGGAAATTCTCAAAGTGCGGTTTCTGCCCTGGTAGAGACGGGCATCCGAGTGGGATCAGAGATAAAGTGTGCTGGGCTGAACTACATATCTGAGTGGATGTCAGGCGCTGTATTGGTTGCATTGATTTTATGTACTGTATACCAACAAACCTCTGCATTTGTTAAAAAGAACAGAGATAACTTCTGCTGGATGGTTTTATTTGGTTGTGTTTTTAATGTAGGAATGGTTACAAGACTATACACAAAAAAGTTGACTTTCTAAAACAGTATTTTTATCTTATTTTCCAGTGAAATAAAAATATCTAATCATCCTTACTCGAACAAAAACTCAAAATTAAAAAATATGTAGACTTGTTTTACAAGAATATATTTTGAATTAACAATTTTGACAAATTGTGTGTTTTGCCTGTTTTAAGCATAAACTTCACTAAATTTTGTTAGATTTAATAGGGTAAGAAAAATAAACTTACCTCAAGAAATGAAGATGAGAAAGGTCTTATCGTTTGCTTATCATGTACATTTAACTTGTTTTAAGGATGTTTCGATATTTTCACTGGAACACAAGACAAAATACTGGAATAAGAAAATGATTTGTGTAATGTAGCAAAGCAAGTTTTTCAAACAGTATTTACAAGAACAACTTTTACAATATTAATTTAATTTCCACTTCCAGAGAGACCATTTTACAGGATAGCATTTTTTTCCATAGATTTTAAATTATGAATATGTAATAAGCATAATTTGATTAGCATAATAAAAGTATGCATATAATTAATAACATGAACAAAATGCATAATCACACTAGGCTAGGTAGAGTTCCTTTTTTGTTAGGAAATTGTAGAAATATACATTCTATAATATTAAATCTCAAAGGTGGCACTTTGCAATTGCATGAGATAAATCGGCGACTTTTCATTTCTACATACAAAAAAAAAAAATCAATCCAAAATAATAATAATTGGAATAATGAAAGAAAGTAAAGCCTAGCCCTAGATGAATCTCAAACAAATGAACAACAACTTTACAACAAAATAATAATTTACTTTTAGTCTACTTTTGTATCCATTTCATTATTACACTATACAAATGTGACCTGCTTGTATCTTACAACATACATCTAATACAACTGCACCATTATGCAATACAGCTCAGCTGTGCTGGATATTAATACATCTAACACAACCTGACCTTCACAAACCCTCATCAGATCTGTGTCCACTCTGGGCTCCTTCATTTAACATTGGCTGGCGAGCACAAACGGTAATCACAAACCGCTGATTGCAGCAGAGAGACAGGAGAAGCAATCAGGGAGAAATCTCTCATTATCATGCGATCACTCTGTATTCTGTAAATCCAAAGGCACAAGCGATGCAGATTTGTACGTCGTATCACTAGAGGCAGCAAGGGGATTGTGACACGGAACAGACATATTGTAATGCAAATGTCAATCACCCTGAAAATGGATTGTTTCAGATGAAGGATTATTTGACAGCCTGAACGTTTTGATTGGATGACTGCTGTTTGACCAAAGACACCAGATGATAAGAGAAACAAACACTTGACGGCGCAAATAAACTCAACAAGCCATACGCAAGAGAAATTATAGAAGCTTGTTTCCACCACTGAATAAAAATTATAAAGGTAATTGCGACTTTTTATCTTATAGTTCTGACTCTTTTCTCGCAATTGCGAGTTTACATCTCAGAATTGCGTGATATAAATCCAGAATTGCGAGAAAAAAAGTCAGAATTGGAAGAAAAAAAGTCAGAATTGCGAGATAAGTCCCGCTATTCAGATTCCCCCCCCCCCCTAAAAATTAAGTTTTAGAATCTAGAATTAACTTCTCGCAATTGTGGATTATAGTCCAATTCTGAGAAAAAAAGTCAGCTCACAATTTTGACATTTTCTCGCAATTGCGAATTTAATCCTGCAGTTCTGAGGGAAAATAATTTGAGATATAAATTCACAATTGCGAGAAAAAAAGTCAAAATTGTGAGATAAAAAGTCGCAATTTCCTTCAATATTATTATCCTTGTTATCCAGTGGCGGAAACAACATTACTTAAATATCAGAAAATATAAAGGACCTAAATGAAGGATTTATCATAAGACAGCTCACCTAAAAATGAAACTTCTGTGATCGTTTAGTCACCCTCATATCATTCCAAACCTGTACGACCTTCTTTCTTGGACCACAAAAGGAGGAATCAATTCAGAACTGACCAGGAAGAAAGAATGTAATTCGGGTTTGGAACGACATGAGGGTGAATATGTGATGACGTTTTCATTTCATTGTTGGGTAAGTGATTCATTCAACTGTTTCAAACCTGTCTACAATAATCAAACATATTGAAACAGATGGAAGTGTGCGGACTGAGATTATGACTGCACTCTAATATGACAAGGACAATTTTGTAGCTTTAATATCAGAAGTAATCTTGACTGTTGATGAGAAATCCTTCAAGCAATGTTTTCAATTAGTAGTGCTGTGAAATTTTAAGTAATGGTAACACTTTACAATAAGGTCTCATAGGTTCACATTAGTTAATGCATTAGTGATGAACTAATTATGAGCAATATATTATTACAGCATTTATTAACCTTTCTAAACGTTAGTAAAAATGCAATTGATCATTGTTTATTAATGCTAGTTCATAGTGCATTAACTAATGTTAACAAATACAACTTTTGATTTGAAAAAATGTAGAAACTAACATTAAAGATTAATAAATGCTGCAGAAGTATTGTTCATGGTTTGGTTCTGTGAACTAATGCATTAAATAATGTACAGTAAACATTTGAAAACTTATTGTAAAGTGTTACCGAATTAATAAATGAACATAAATACACTTTTGATCGTGGTTCAGCTAAATGTTGCATCACAGCATCCAGTGCCGTGCAACCGCTTCTAAAATTTGTAGATAATAGCGTAAATCTACAGTGTATAACACAAGCAGGGCTTCGGGCGACATCCGCTACATCAAATCATTAGCGTTTACTGAAGTACGCTCACTTAAGTCAACATAAATAACAGAAAAATACACACAATCCCACAGGGCTCCCAAATAAATCTCAAGATGATCTGTAAAGTACTCAATATATTCCCTAATGCACCCTTACTCTCACAAAAAAGAAACATTTTAGAAATTGACACACAGTTTCCTTCTGTGACAGCCTGCAAAAATAAAGGCGAGGCACTCCCATCGAGAGCATCCTTCTATAGACATAGAAATAACAACGTTAACAAAAAAAGAAGTCTTCATTTTACAAAGTGCTTGACATTTTTCACAGTGTGTGATTTCAGCAGTCTGCCTTGTGATTTACGGAGCTCTGACACTAATGTTTCTGTCCCAAATATGGAATATATAATATGGCAGCTGCATGGGCTTGTCCAACACTTTGCAGTTGTCCCATGAGCTCAAAGGTAAGTGAAGTCTTGTAAAGGAGGAAACAATATTTGAGATGTTTCATCACCCATAATGAGTAACACCTCCACCAAACCAGTTCTTCTGGGTGAGGGAATAGTCTCACCACATTTGAATAAAGCTCAAGTGTACAGTTAAAGGTCAATGCATAACCTGAACATTCCTGCAGAGCAGCTCTGAGGGGTCACTTCCTGTGAAGCCTGCATCATTTCCTGTTGAAACCCAAACGTCTCTGCAAGTGAGGACTGGCATGGTTCACGAGGCAGAGGGCCATATGGGCAGTGGATGGGCCTCGGTGTTGAACACGTACTTATCCAGACTGAGCAGCTCGGTGTCGTCAGAGAACAGGAGGAAGAGATACTTCAGCGTCTCGCCCAGGAAGAAGCTCTCCATCTTATCTCTGGGTGCGGGGTTCAACGGGTCACGGACGTTACCTATGGAGGTGTAGCCCCCGCTGGGGACCTGAGACAGAAATTGAGTAAAGAAGTCAAGTTTCTTTATTTATTATTGGCACAGCTAGCACACTGTTCAATGGGCAGTGAAAATGCTTCCAGCTGAGACCGATAAATGAAATATATTCAAATTCTATACTATTTTGTCTTTAAAAAAACACCCACACCCACTAAAAGATAGAATCAAGCATCTTAAAAAGCTACAAGTGAATTTTGCCATAAAATGTGGGGGGAAATAATTTTGAGATTTGCTCAAGATTACATTCAACAGTGTTATTAATTTATTTAGCCATTTTAGAGATTAACGTTAAGTTTTTAAGTGAACATTAGGCGATGGCAAAGGTAATCTAAGTGTGAAAACAGAAATATTTAGTACAATTTTGGATTTTCTCTAATATGGACTGATTCTGATGAATATTTTTTTTTTTAATTGGCTGATTTATTAAATTGTGAAAGAATGGTTGGGAGGGAGCATGAAGAATCATTTCCACAGATGAAATGGCACCTCTGAGTCCAGACCTTAAATTCATTGAAAGTCTTCAGGATGTGCTGGAATAGACTTCACAGAGTGCTGGACTCTTGCATTGTCAATACAAGATCTTAACTAAAAATTGATGTACCTCTTGATGAAAATAAATGTTGAGATGTTATTTCCATCAAGAGGTACATACATTTTTGGTCAAGATCTTGTATTGCCAATGCAAGATCGAAGTACTCTGTCTGGACTCAGAGACGCCAATTCATGTGTGGAAATGATTCTTCATGCTCCCTCCGAACCATTCTTTCACAATTTGAGCCTGATGAATCTTGACATTGTCATCCTGGAATATGGCCATGATGTGTCTTCCTACATGGATGTTTAAGAAATGAAAAGCTACACACTCCATCAATTAGGGTTAGAAGAACGGTTGCCAAACATATAACATGCTAGAAACATAATAATCACTGCAATAATGATCAGATTCAAAGACTCTTAAGCATTTGCCTATTTAAATCCAGACAGCGATTTATTTTGTGTGTGAGTGTATACATATAACAAATTTTTTTTTTTAAATTACAATAAGAGAAGAAATATATTCTATTTTTATTGAATAAAATATTTTCTTTATATTTTAGTCTCAGATTTTGGACCCTACAGTATATAATATTTCTTGTAATGTAAGAAAAACTATAAAATGTGCTATTTACAAAATGCTGGAATGTAAAATTCAGAGAAAATTCTTGCAGGTCTCACTCACTCTGGTGTGCTTGTTGAAACTTTGCAGAATGTCCCAGCCCCAGTCCCTGTATTTGCTGTCATTAGTGAATCTGTACATGTAGAACAGACTCTCTACTGTCTCTGGTCTCAGCAAGTTGTGTCTGTCAGCAGGCTGCACATGCATATTGAAGAGAGAAAACAAAATCTGTTAATGTAAAAGGGCACCAACTATTATAAAGGTCATCTCATCAGTGCTGAGCGCAGAATCTGTTTTGTTCTTCAGAACAGAAGAATAAACATAAAGACCTTGATTAGACAATCTGAACCCAACACGGCCTCTACACTGTTTAGGGGTCTATTACCATTTTATTTCTAGACAAAGGAGAGAAAAGGCATTATGGTGTTGTTCCAAAACCTGCATCAGCAGTTTAAGGTCTTGTCTCAAACCATCCAGGGAGTTTATTGTCAAAAATGAGTGGTGACTGTACAGGTTAATGAACCTTCACATCGATGTCCCGTCCGCTTTGGTACTGCAGGTTAAAGTGAGCGATCTCTGGGCTCAGGCCCGTCTCCATCTGCGCATACATCTGATGGCACGTCTCCATCAACTGCAGAGCCAGGTCCATGTGATCAGCGGGCAGGCCGTTGTGAGCGCCGAGAGCCAGCGTGCCAGGAAGAAAACACACCAAATGATCCTGGATGAGACAGAGAGAGTGTTGTTATGGAGAAAGAGATTCACATTATAAAGCCTACTATAGCTAAACTAAAACTCATTTTTGAAAACACATCTTTTTTCTCAGGCGTACTCATAATTGTGGATATGTAGCCTTAGTGAGTTAAAATTTTATATTATGAAATTTGTACGATGTTTGTTTTTATTGTGTTTTTATTTGTGTTTTTGTGAAGCACCTTGGTCAGCAGAAATGCTGTTTTAAGGTGCTATATAAATAAAAGTGACCTTGACTATATCATATTTGATACACAAAATGACAAAGCCTCTAAATTACCAACATGATCAAAAGTTGGCTTAAAAACCTTGCTACATATCTTCTGCCCTCTGATTGATAGTTCATACCTTTTTAGTAAGTTTACCATTTTAAAAACGTTATCCTTCAGGTCGTGGCATAGTACGTGTCTTTTTGCTGTGAAATCTTTACTGATTTTTATAAAGACTTTTATATTGTTAGTAATATTTTAAGATGAACAATGACTGAAACAACTTAGCTTTACTTGATTCTCTATACAATTGTTTTTAGAAAAAGCATGATTAAATGTATCAAATATGATACACTGCTTTTGAGGAAAGTTTATTTGTACATCGTTCAATCATCATTGTATTGCATTGCATTGTTTTAGCAGCATACATGTTTAGAACAACATGAATTTTCATTTTTGGGTGAACTATCCCTTTAAGTATGACACTTGGTGGCTGAAATGAAGTTATTACTTTCTCACCATCTTGGGATTGAGACGGCCGTTGGACAGCTCCCCAACGAAGGTCAGTTTACTAGGAGAAGTCTGTCTCAAGAGATTCTTTTTGACACCTTCTACAGCCTGAAGATAGTCCTCCAGCAACCTGAAACAATATGCAAACATCACACTATGCATTTGACGTGATTAAGTTCGCCCTCTAGAGACAAAAATAAGCTACTGCATCTTTTTGTACATTGAGAGCGTCCCAGACTTCAGTCGATCCTCATAGTCATACGTGTCTCTGTGATGAATAAAATCAAACATAGAAAGTGAGGGCTCCGATCCAACCCCATCAGTGTCTTAGCGAGATAACAGACAGGATTCAGAGGTCATTTAAATAGACCACATTCTCCATTGACTAGCATATCCATCACCAACCTGAGGCCTCATTTATAACCGTTGCGTACGCACAAAACAGGCCCTGAAAGAGGCGTACGCCACTTCCGACGCATAAATTGCCATTTATAAAAACAAACTTGACGGGAAATTTTGCGCACCTGAACGCAAACTCTGACCCATGCGTACGAACGTTTTGGAGACGGAGCAGTTTGGCGACACCGATGGTGAGCTGGATTTAAATGTCTTTTTGGTCACTTAAAATCTAAAGAAAATTATACATAGCCTATATAGAAAGATAATAGCCTACAAATATAATTTCACTCACCAAGCCTATCACTTGAAGCCAATATCCATCCCTTCTTGTCCGAGTCAGCGAGCGCGTTGGCCGTTTTGTGAAACTGACGCACATAGCCTATCTAACGGCAGATGAAGTAAAACCGTAAATGAGTCCTAATCATAAATACAGTGCATGCTCACAATAACAGTTTAAATAAATAAAATAATGATTTAAACTATGTTTTACTTCTGATATAGCCTAAACATTTAGGTAGATTAAATATAGATAAAATATTCTCATTAATGGAGTTAAACACAAACTACATGAAATAATTACTGTTCAGATTAGAGTAACGCGTTACCGGCATCACTGCTGGCGAGGACCCCGTTCCTGTCCAGTGACGCAAGATCGGCGGCGCTTGAGAGGCCCCTTTGGCACGGGGCCCTGGGGGGCCGCACCCAAGCTATCTCTATGAGGCGCTACTGCTGAGAAGTTACAACATTTGCTTATATTCAATAAATAGAAATATTTATTTCCCTCTGGCATGCTGTGTTTTAACGTTTTAACTACAGAGATAATTGCTTATCATGATAATAGCAGATTGTCTGAGAAAATAGTTTTGTGCAAATAATGCACAACCATGTCTATCTGTTTCCATTAAAAATATAAATAAATTATAAATACTATTTGGCCAGTGGAAAAGATTGAGAAAACTTTCTCTGAAATGTATTTTACACTATTTGATTTATTTATTCAAAAACAAGGCAAGGATAGGCTACTAAAAAAAATATATTAATGTAATGTGACGGCACATCCGTATTTCATATTTTGTACCTTTAAATATGGTATCACGTGGATGAATAATCATAGGCAAATGATATGCAGATGAGGATATGCATATTAAAACTAGGCGTTGTAATCTCCATATATGGTTATTTCAGGGTGGAGACACGTGCGCACAATCTTCCGCTGACTGGGATTTCTAAAGTGAATTATGCACAAGTTCTGGCGTATGAACGGTTTTATAAGTCTGAATATTTTTTTTTGTGTACGTACGCCATTTTTGGCTTTCGGGCGCACGTACACTTTTAGTAAGGATCTTACGCCCAGTTTTATAAATGAGGCCCCTGGTCTTGTGTGGATTTGATATTCCACACCAGACTGAGACATATATCAAAACTCATTAACAGTCAGTGTCTACTGAACCCCAGTGAACACCTTTTTATTGAATTATTCAAAACCGAACCCAATGAAAAAAGCGAGGAGCAAGTGTGTGTGATGTCAACACAGCGGGAGTCTAACGAGACTCAGGTGTGAGCAGTGCATGACAATGATCCGTCAAGCTCAACAGAGACAGAATCGCAGCAGCAGAGAGAACAGAAAGACAGAATAACATCCTGTCAAGAGCACAAAATGGCTGATGTCGCATTTCGCCAGGAGCAATGACACCTTGGCACTGTCCCTAATGGTGGTGGACATGTGCGAAACATGCCTATGACAGTATATGCCTATATCAGTCATCATGGTGATACGGTCTTGTGAGGGCTTTTTTACCAATTTTATTGTCCGTCAGACAAAAAGTTTAAGTTCAACTAGTTATAAACGTAACAGCACACCTCTCCTCAAAAAAGCAACACCATTTGAGGTATCATTTAAGTCTGGGATGATTTATGTGCCAATACAAAAAGTCAATAATTATTTAAATGTTATGGTTGATAACTGAAAATGGCTGATATTACAATTCAATACTAATTTGTCTAAATAAATGAAATAAAACACTAACAAATATAAACATTACAACACATGAAATCAATCATTTTAAATGTAACAAGTGAATTTAGTAGGCATCACGAATTTGCTAAAAATTCCATTTACAGTGTTATTAAATTATTCGATTGCTTAGATTTAGTGAGCATTAATTGACAGGAGTAATCTAAATGTAATTGTATATATATATATATATATATATATATATATATATATATATATATATGAATATGAGCAATAGTGATTTTTGCTGGAATTACAGCTAAAAGAATATTGCTTTATTATGCCAATATACTATTTTTTTAATGTTAAAATACATTGACTCCATCAATAGTATGATATTGACTATCCAAGAATAGCTGCCAGGGTGAGTGTTCAGGAAGCCTATTTGAAAACGGGCTTTATTTCTGTGACTGTTATTTTTGTTGATCCTAGCAGCACACAAATTACACACTTATCACCACTGTTTGTTTTCTACTTCATAGCACAATGTTTTTAGTGCTTGAGTCCCAAATTTGACATTCAAACAGAAACATTAACACTTATATAATTTGAGACCTCTTGAAACCAATTCCATCAAGAAATGATGACATCATAATAAAATAATCGAATACTAAATGCACCGAAGTCACCTCCAGGTTTTCAAGAGCAACACAAGTGCCCTGTACTTTTATCACTGTCAAGGCTAAGTAGCATGTCGTTACATAATAATTAAACCATGCTCAGTTTTTTTGTTCTTTCCCAGTGCAATTCACTCTATCAGTAACTGACAATGTGAATCAATCATACCACCCCATCTGTGACCAGAACCATAACCTCAGTACATTAGGCTCAGTGAGCATCACCAATTCTCTGGAACCCATTAGCTAAAAGCACCAGTGGGCTATTGACACCCGGTCTAAGCACTAAATTTATGAACCGTCAGCCAAAGCTGCATTCGTATCTGCTGTTAGTGTAACTCACTCAGTCTCTTTCTTTCCACCCTGTAGCCACTGTTTGAGCAGGTACTCGTAGTAGCTGTCCGCACGGGCCCCCAGCGTAAAGGCCCCTCGCCGAGTGAATTTACCACTGTTTGTGTTGATGAACATAGGCACCAGACCATCACGCTTTCCCTCCAATCTGTGGACCTGTCTGGTCACCTCCTCCACTGCATTCTGAGAACAGAGGGAGATATACAAAAATCTTAACTTGATTTTTTTAAAATTACAAAAATAAAATAATAAAAATAGGAAAAAAATGAAAAAAATGGTACAAATAATGTACCTGGTACTGCGGGTCCTGTGTGAGTCGGCTGAGCTCTCTGAACTCCAGCTGAATGCTGGTCACCTCTGCGACTGTGCTGTCTGTGGTCCAGCGTGGAGGGTGAGCGGTTCCTTTACCAATGTTCACGTCAGAGTAGGGGATTTTAGATGGCGTCTTGAAAGCAGGCATTAATCTGAAGCCAATGTCTTTCTACAAAAACAGAGACACAACAAGTGTTTTATCTGTGGTCTATTAAAATAGTTGACTCATCTGTGTAAGCCAAAAGCTATAAACCTTTAAAGCTATACTTTGTCCTTTACTAGGACAATGAAGGATATGAAGGATAATGAGGATGATACTAAATTAAATAAAGATTTGAAGTACTTACAGCTTTTTCCAGAAAGAGTGTGTCCCCGGACAAGTGGTATGTGCTCAAGAGACCCCCCAAAATACGTATGGTACTCTCAAAAAGATTCACATCCACATTTTTGGAAAAAGATAATTCTGTCTCGACCCACTTCCTCGCCTCTGCAAACTCTAATATACAAAGATTTAGAAAGAGAGAGACACATAGAGAAAGAAAGAGAGAGAGAGAGAGAGAGAGAGAGAGAGAGAGAGAGAGAGAGAGAGAGAGAGAGAGAGAGAGAGAGAGAGAGAGAGAGAGAGAGAGAGAGAGAGAGAGAGAGAGAGAGAGAGAGAGAGAAGGAGGGGGTGCAAAGTACAATTTTTCCATCATTATTCATATTTATATAGTCTTTTTCACACAATATATTTTTAATTAATGGGATTATCTTCAAATATGGGAACTTTAGGCCCTGTGGACTTCAATTTGTATCTTCAAGTTTATTCAATTTGTATGCTAGCAACGTCCAACTGTGGATATGCACAACTGTTCAAAGGTTTTGGGTCAAAATGATATTTTAATGTTTTTTATGATCATTTTTCATTATCATTATAATATGCTGATTTGCTGCTCAAGAAACATTTTTTTATTATTATCAATGAGGAAAACAGTTGTGCAGCTTAATATTTTTGTGGAAACCTTGATACATTTTTGCGGGATTCTTTGATTAATGGAAAGTTCAAAAGAACAGTATTTATTTAACGACATTTTTTTTTTCTTTTTAACAATGTAAAAGTCTTTACTGTAGTTTTTAATCAATTTAATGCTGTCACTTTTAATCAATGTTGACAACCGGAAATGAAACAAGCAATAGATTTGAAATGTGCATACAGTGGTCAAAAAACAAAAGCTGCAGTTATAAGACTCACCGTCTTTCAGGCCAAGGATCCACATGGTGTCTAGTGCATCTATAAGTGTGAGGCCCAGACCGAACCACTCTCCATGAGTCTTAGATATGGGCTTCAGTTCATCATGACCCCACGCAAAAGCCTTGTAGCCCTTCCACGCGTGCCTGAAAGCCTCCCGCACCGCCTCTACATGATCCACGGGCTTCACTGTGACTGTGTACAACAAATAAATCACAGAAAGACATTAAGATGATCACATGTCTGAGGCGTTTGGCCTTAATAATTGTGGGATGAATTCTGATACCTGGTTCTAAGTTGGTAGCTCCCTCGGCATCAGCCACTGTTCCTTCTTTCCCATGGGCGGTGGACTGAAGCTCCGTCCCCTGCTCCGCCTCGATCATTGCCCCGCGCCAGCTAGGAGTCCAAAAACAACACTGGCATCAATTGTAACATCCAATCCAGAGATTCAGCACCCATAATAGCACTGTTTCCGTCCAGATGACCCATGATTATAACTGCAATTACACATGAGCAGGAGTCCCACAACAGGACACAGCTGGAGGAAATGAAAGCTCATCGCAACTCACTTCAAAAACGCTGCATTACCAGCTCAACTGTTAATCAACTGTTCCCTAAGGCACTATCAGCACACGGGAGTGTTTGTCTTCTGCTCCTGCTATGCATTCTCTGCTCTTTCTAAAGGCAGTGACACACCAAGCCAACGTAAAAGAACTAGCAACGACAAAAGCTGACTGTGTTGTCACCTCACGTCGGCTGCGTCTCGGCCAAAAACCTGCGCTTGAACACACCAAAAGGACTACAGGAGACTGTAGACGAGCACGTGCGTTCTGAGCCTGCGTGTAGGGAAATACCCGTCTATATCAGCAGGTGTTAAATAGTATATATTCATCATTCAAAAAGGGAAACTGAAACTAGGACTGCAGATATATAAACAGTAAACAAAGCAGCACTTGCTCACCATTTTGAATATCAATCATGCTCAGGTAAGATGACTTAAAATTAGAACAGCCTTCTGTTATATATATTAATGACCTAAATATATTAGTGACCTTTTACACCCTTACTCTCCAACTAGAGCACTCAGGTCTTCTGACCAATTGCTATTGACGGTTCCTCGTTGCCGTTTTAAATCTAAGAGTGACCGTGCCTTTTCAGTGAAGGGTCCGAAATTATGGAATAGTCTTCCTTTCCACGTGAGGTCATCATCATCGCTAGCCATTTTTTAAGTCTTCTTTAAAAACATATCTGTTTTCTTTAGCTTTTGAATAGATCATGAAATGGGTTTTTAAAAGCTGATAGAATGATTTTGTATTTAAATGTGTTTATTTATTCTAGCTTGATCTGTAAAGCACTTTGGGTCAACTTCTGTTGTTTTTTAATGTGCTATAAAAAGAAAGGTTGACTTGACTTGACTTCTGTCTGTGCCGTCTTGACGACTTTGGTCGCTTTAGCTTTTATTTTTTTATTAACATCCAATCAGAGTTCTCTCTCTCACCGATGCCGATTAGACATACTCAATCGGACAAAAAGCTAGTGCAGACGGTGCAGAACACACCGCAAAAACTGGACCAGTTGACGCTCAATGACGGCCAACATAATTCATCCAAAAATTTAAATCTGTTATCATTTTTATATCATTCTTTTTGTGTGTGTAAATTTTGGAGCAGCTGTAAGTACTATAAGGTGTTCACACTTGTACTTCGGTTCTCTTGGTTCTTTTGGCCTGGACTAAAAAAGAAAACGATACATTTAGTCCTGGTTCACACTGTCATTTTTAAGACCGAACCTAAACATACAAAACAAAAAATATGACATTTTTTTATGACGTATATTTTGTGATGGAACTTAGCAAACATCCAAAACAATGCTGTGTGCTGGGCTAAACGCACTCGTCGAATGAGTGTAAATATGATGGTATTTATACCAGCTGAGAACACATTAAGAGCTTATAGAATGTGTAAAGGAATTGTGTGAAAGATAAAATGTGTAAAACACCACGAGCAATTCCTCTGTTTTGCAATCACATCCTGTTTTTGGTTCGTTTAGATGTCTTTGGTCCATGTTACGTTAATATTTCAGTCGAACTTGTTTTGGAATCGGTCCACTTGTTTGGTTCGCACAAAGGTTCGGGTGGCAGTGTTCAAACGTATTCAAATGAACCGCATTAAAAGAGCCATCGCACCAGAGTCAATTTTAATATAACCAAATATGCCATGTGTGAACACACACTAAATGTCATTGTAAGTATAGGAAAATTCAAAAATTGTGTTCCAAATTCAGGAGTTTTTAAACTGTGGGCCACGAGAGGTGCGCAAAAAATAAATATTGTCAAATGTTAAAATTTTCAGAATTTGATATTATGCTCACTATTATTATCCATGTTGAAAACAGTCCTTAATACTTTTTTTGGGAAACTGTAAATGTTTTTTTCTTCCAGGATTTTTAGGATTTTAGGTGTCTTTACTGTTACTTTTTATCATTTTTATGCGTGCTTGCTAAATAAAAGTATTAACTGTTTAAAAAAATCTTATCAACCCTGAACTTCAGAACGGTAGTGTACTTTTTTTCATTTATTTATCTACCTTTATATTTAAGGAGGGGGGGTTGCTCACAAAGGGACCATTATATTGCAGGTCTGTGCAAAAAAGTTTGAAAAACTCTTTTCAAATTAGCAGTCTACAGGTTTCGAATGGCATGATGGTGAGTAAATGAACACAGGATTAACTATTTCTTAAAGAAATTTGTCATTAATATGTACCCATATACAGTGACGGATGAATCTGACAAGCATCAATGTGAAAATGTATTTCATTTAGTGGAGGGGATAAAATTCGTAGTAGCTCCAAGCGTGTGAGTGAGACTATTAACAAATAATTGGCAATAAAACTCATAATTACTGTCAGTTTTAATACCTCTACTTACTCGAAAGGTTAAATACTAAGCCAACAACAAATAAATGTCAATGACTAATCCTTTAACCATTTATCATAATTAAAAGTCTCATATAAAAATGTCTGCATTGATTTAATGTAAGATATCCAAACCTAATGACTGTTTTTGCTTCTTTCCCTCCGTCGTCTTCTCTCTTGATCTCGGGTTCGGGTTCTTCTCTATCTTTCACCTGCCAATCTGACACATTCCCTCGCTTCTGTAGAGCTGGAGGACCACGCTTGCTAGGGGGCTTCCTCTGCTGATTCAAACCGCCCAACATAAAAAGACAAGAGTAGATAAAGAATCTTAGGATACATTTACACGACAACGATGTACACATTTTTTTTCGCATACAGAAAAACGATCTCCATTCACACGGATTAGCGAAATAGACTAAAAACGCTGTATTATGGATGCCAGGCCAGTAGTTGGCAATGTCACTTTGTGAAGAAACACTACACGCCTATAGACTGAACACATAATACGCATGCGCATAATGTCACCGTTTTCACAAACTAATGTTTTTTATGTCATAAATTACCTTATTAACATAATATTAAAATATTATGTATTTAAAAAAAAAATTTGTAACAATTGTAATTTTGTAATCTTTTTAAATGTACTGTATCAATATAATAATGCTATAATTGATCAAATTTATTTTTGTATTTTATTTTATTAAATTTTGGTTTACGATTTAAGTTGTTTTGTTATTGTTTTAGCAGGGGCTGGAAAAACCCTTAAAAATGAGTAGAAAAATGATAAATTTAACGATATAATAAATATACCAAATAACTAAGACATATTCCTACTAACCATAGCTGGAGGTTTGGGAAGTATTGGAATGCTTGGTCTTTGAAGCTCTGGCAGCACTTCTGGTGGGACATCCAGGACATCAGGGACAACTCCTGGTGGGAGCTTTGGGACGAGGCCAGGAGGAATGGGCCTGAGACCTCTGTTTTCCATTTCAACCCAGTCCTCTTTCAACGATCTGTCAGAGAGCCCTAGACAACAAACAGACAGAAATAAATCTCATAAACCATGTGATGTTTAATAAAACTTTTACCCCAGCCAGGCGCGGTGTTTGCGCGGGGGGGGGGGGGGGGGGCAGGGGGGGCATTGCCCCCCCTGGTGGCTGAAACCCGTTTAATTTTTCTTTTTGCATTGTTAAAAAATAGGCCTATATATATTATAAATATTTTAAATAACACAAAACAACTAAATGGTGGTAGGTAATAGGCTACACATCTGATTTTATATACTGCTTTAGTAAAAAAAAAAACTGCAATGGAAACAGGTTTTTGCGCATTTACAGTCAGCTGACTTAGAGAAGACGCGGGGATAATAATAATAATTATCATCATTATTATAACATTTATTAGGCTACATATGTAGAAGACGCTTATCAAAAAAAAGGAACAAAGCAATTCGTCACATATCATTCATAATACAGGGCTAAGATGATCACAAATAGGCTAAAAAAGATTTTGACGCATATCCAAGTGTGTGTGCGGAATGTGGAGCGCGCACTGGATGGCACGGAGGCGCGGGGCGTGGGCGCGAACACTTGCATTTTCCCATCAACAGTGGAAACAACTTAAAATAGGCTAGCCTACTCTATCATTTCTGGTCATACAGAAAATAATAATACATTATTCGCAACTACTTTTATTTGTGTACACTCACAATAACAAGAAAACGTTGTGCTTTTGTAAAATAAAATAAAACAATCAGGCGCGCTTCATGGTCTCCGTGAACTGAAGCGCTAGAACTGAAACAAAATATAGCCTAAGCTAAAGCTTGAAATGTCCACTTTAAAACGAACAAATCAATATTTGTCAATATTTTAAATGTTTAATAAAGGGGCAAAAAGTCATAAACAAAAATCTGAAAATTCGTCCATATTATTTATTTTGCGCAGCATTTGGTGTGTAGTAGTTCAAATTAAAATTTTGGTGTTCGACTTTGCGTTTTAAAAATACAACCGTTTATTTTTCGTTTTGCAATTACGGGTTAAATAAGGAAAAACGAATGGACACAAAAGTACACTGACCGTTTGGACATAATACGAGTTCTTTATTAAATTCATAAAAGAAACAATAATTACAGGAGTAGGCCTACTGGATTCTAAACCTCAAAGAAATGCCACAATCAAGACCTCGGAGCAGAAATGAGGGAGAAACAGCCAGGAACTCTTAGGCTATATGTGCCGTTCGCAGTATAAGGGTCTGCCATTAATGCTTGGATAACACACCACGTCTCCTTCCATTAATAATAATAATAATGTCTAGTGTGTAATAATGTCTAAATACATTTTAGTCGCATAACATCGGTTAATGGAAACGCCGTCATTTCGCAATAGTTTTTTATCGACATTTAAAAAAAGGCGCAAAAGTTTTGCGCAAATCTGTAATCGAAACGCGCCTAATGATTACTACATGAACGAATGAATGAATGCTACAATGATTTTTTTTTTTGCCCCCCCTGGCTCGAATGTCAAACTCCGCCTATGACCCCAGCAGCTAATATAAACGAGCAGAGACTGTGCCAATCATCTATCTTTTGTGATTTCACCTTTCATATCCTGTGAAATGTCATTAAAGAGGACGGAATAAAGTACCTCTCCACTGCTCCGACAGACTGGAATAGGAAAGAATCCCACAGATGAAGAGGAAGGCCAGCAGGAAAAGAATCAGACTGCGCTGAAGCCGAGACAGCTGCTTCCATTTCTGCCAAAACAAACGCAAACAATACATGGACAATCGGAGGAAAGTGCAGCAATTTTATATTTGATGGATTGACGTGGCAACTGTAATGACCGCCAAATATAGTGCTACAAAAACAAAGCTACAGGGAAACAACTACAATATGATTGATCCTGCACTCAGAAATCAAATCTAAAAGAACTTTTCTCTCAGTACAAACGTCACTATAGTTTAATCAACCTAACTAATTCAATCAACATGCATTTCAGATAACGGAAGGCATTAAAGGGAAAGTTCGCCCAAAAAATCCTACATTTCCTCACCCACATGTTGTTCAAACCTGCATGATTTTCTTTTTCTGTGAAACAAAAATGAGACACACTACCTTTGAAAAGTTTGGGGTCACTTAGACTTTTTAATGTTTTTGAAAGAAGTCTCTTCTGCTCATAAAAGCTGCATTTATTTGATTTACAATATAGTAACTGTTTTCTATTTTATATATTGTAAAATGTCATTTATTTCTGTGATGATAAAGTGGAATTTTCAACATCATTACTCCAGTCTTCAGTGTCACATGATCCTTTAGAAATTATTCTAATTTGCTGCTTTTTTAAAATTATTATCAATGTTGAAAACAGTTTTGCTTCCTAATATTTGTGATACATTTTATTCACAATTTTTTGCTGAATAGAAAGTTTGAACAGCATTTATTTGAAACATTGTTTGTCTTTATTGTCACTTTTGATCAATTTAATGCATCCTTGCTGAATAAAAGAATTAATTTCTTAAAATAAAAACAGTTGTTCATTGAGCTGATTGAGGACAATTCATTCACTAACCGAGTTCTTGAGTTGAACTTACTGACTTAGTGATTTGTTTGCTTTTTTTGGTGTTCTTATGTTGTTGTTTTTTCACATTAAAATAGTGTTGCATGAACAAGAGCCTCAATTTGGGTTACCAAGAAAAAAATTAAGTAGTTTAGAAAGACATGACGGTGAGTAAATCCTAGCAGAACTGTTTTTTATTTTTTTGATGAACTGTTCCTTTAAGCTACATTTTTAAATTAAAAGTTTTGTTTTTTTCAAGCCACAAAATTGTGTTTTCGGCTTAGCAGGAAGTGTGTGTCTGCTTTCCGGCGATAATTAAGTATATACAAATTAGTAGATTATATGTGAGGGGAAAAAAAAAACAAGGGTTTTGACATCCCCAGTCTGGCTAGGACTGAACACAACGATTACAGTGCCAGCATTTTCTTCTCAGAATATTAAATAGATGTCAAGCCACACAGACAGGAAAATGGCACTCATTTACACAAACAAATAAAGACGCAGAAGCCATCAGGCGTCGAACATCACAGTTAATGAATGAAAAATATATAATGCTCTGTATTTATGTCCATTAGAACAAGGGTTAAGATGGCATGTTAAGAATAAAATAGGCAAACACTAACCCTCCAGCAGGACTGCCTCCGGTGCTTGCCGTTGGTGTAGCTGCGGTTGTGTTGGTCTCCCAGCGTCAGAGAGACAAAGTCCTTCCTCTGTGGCGAGTACATCTCTAACACAGCCCGCCACTCAAACACACTGAATCAAATAGGCGAGACAGGGAAAAAAAGACGAGAATGACACAGATATCAAGTGATTTTCCCACAAATCACTATTCGTTACATGAGCTGAGCACATGAAGGTCTGTGGCTCCTGCCATGCTGATCTTCACAGCTCCCTGAGGAGAATTGAGGTGTAAAACACAGATCTCGTCACAAGATTACTTGATACCAGACTAAAACTGAAGTGAAATGAGGCACGGGGTGGCACATCTGATCTGAGAACAACACCATGGGACAGGGCTGTTCACCTCACTGTCCCAGGGCCATGAGAGCCATGTAAGAGGGGATTAGGAACATTAGCCTAAGTCCATCTGGTTTCTATCATACCAAACCCAGTTCACTGGATAGAATAGATTTAAAACACTGGCCTGCTAAGATGACACACATATGCTGCAGGACAGGGGAAGGTTGAATGCAGACTGTGTCCCAAATGCAAATTACAAGTAAAATCATCTGTTTGAGATTGTCATTTGAAGGTTCAGTTCTGTTTTGAGGACAACGTTCCCACACTTTTTAACCATTTCATTACCCTTCCTGTTGTTTTTGATTAGCCTACGGGATATGAATGTTCCTTTTAAATAGCATGCAAATTCAAATTGATTTGCGGATAAATCTTTCAAAATGATTTCTGAACTGGTCGACTGATTAACTGATTCGCTCACAGATCACACATCACTACGGGTTTTGAGCAGGTTTTACACTACACAAGAAAACATTTTTATCAAGGAAAGAGTTTTTTTTTATTTTAAATACAAATGTTAAATGTTCACATTTATTTTCATGATAGGCCAGGACAAAACTCGTAATCTGAGTCCACAAATAACCTGATTCGTTTGGTCATGTTGAGTTAAATGACTGTTTTAAATATCCACCCAACTATTTACCACCATTTTTTAATTTTCTAAAAATACATAGGCTGCATTCGAAATCACATACTTCCCAACTAAAAGTACCCAGATGACCTACTTCTTCCGGTGAGATTCTGAAGTGTACAATGCATACAATGGACACTTTACTATCCCATAAGGCCACGGAAGAGTTGGTAGGTCCCATGATAATGACAACATGGCGAATGTAGAACATACTTAAGAACATACTTTGTTCAGATAGATTAGAACATACTTTTTTAGTGGTCGTGAAGTAATATTCAAAATAAGTACCTAATCAAAATAGTATGCGATTTCGGATGCAGTATGTAGGCCGTTCCGTCGTATGCACACTTCAGAATCTCACCGGTAGTAGGTCAGGGTACTTTTTGCCTAGTCCTTTATGAGTACTGTGAATTCGGACATACTTCTTTAGTCACCTACTGTTTTTCACCTAGTAGGTAAGTATGCGATTTCAGATACAGCCAATAACTGAAGTGTGCATACAACATGGCGAACGTAAGTTAGTACGTCCAGATTACACTCATACTACAGACATTCATACTAGAACATACTCTCTTTTTTTTAGCAGTCGTGAAGTAATTATTTATTCAAAATAAGTACCTACTCAAGAGAATGTGATTTCGGATGCAGCCATAGTTTTACAATGTCATTCCTTGATATTGTTTTTATTTTTTAAACCTCTGAATACTTGTTCCTAGGCCAGCCAAGTCATAACATTTGGCAGCCTGTTTTGAGGGTACCTAAAATAGGTAGGTCATCTACATTGACATACCGGATTTTTAAATCAATAGCTTTACAATACCATATCAATTTGGTGCCAGCGCCCCTAATAAGGATATAAGGATTTGTACTGCAAGTAATTCTACTTATGACTTTTAAATCACTTTTCTTAAAATCATCATCAGTTAAATTAAAATACTTGAAAATTTGTTGTCACGTGCCTGTACTTATTTTACATTGACAGATTTTCCACTGCACACATCTATGCTGCAAACGCTTTGGCAAAACAATAGTGTCTGTTATACCATTAAAGCACACTGAAATGAAAGAGAAATATGCATAAATTTTTTTATCAACCGTTTAACCCTGCTCAGGTAAGGGACTAACTGGCCTCCAAACGAATCCTTGTTTTACCTTTCTCTTGACAACTTGCTGATCCCGGAAAGAAAGAGGATCTATATGCATGAAGAGGAGGAGGTCACAGCCAAGGCATCCCATCCACTGTGCGTGTAGTATTAGTGAACTCAGTGTGTAGGTGACAGCAGGAGTGGCTATCAGATCTCTATCTCTCCTCCATCACGCTGCTCTCATACAAACCGCGTATTACTCGCACAAAACGCATGCTGATAGACAGTCTAATCGTAATGTATCAATCTGTATAAAAATAAGCATGATCGCTGTTAATCACCAGAAAGCTGTGTTCAGTACAATGTTTATGTGACAGCTCCTATTGTATCACGTGATCCTCGTGCACACGCGTCATTCTGTCGGGCTCCGCCCTGTTTTATTAACACGTTCATGACCTTACAACAATCTCCCTTTTCACATGGAGGGCAGAAATCATGTATCAGTTAACATAATTATATTTATGATAACGTGGTTTGTGACCTGATTTTTTTTAAGTAAAAAAATGATTGAAAATGAAAAATGCTGCTTGATTAATTAAATTGTAAAAATGTTAACACAAATAAATACAATAGGCCTACATTTGGAAATTGGAATGATCCTAAGTGTGTAATTATTATTCCATACGTTATCATAGAAATGCAGTAATATATTGAATAGTGTATAGCACAGTAATATTATAAATTAAGTCATTTGACACACTTAAATAGAATAATTGAATTGACACAAGTACTGTAACGAAGCATATAAATAAGTATATTGATGACTAAGACAAGGGAGATGGTGGTGGAGTGAAATTAAAGGAACACTTTGCCGACCTGTTTTGTGGGACTGATAACACTCCTTACTCATGATATTCATATATTGCTGGATGATGATGTCCTCATACACACACTGCAAATTCAAAGGTTTGTGTGTGTGTTTTTTAGCAAGATGAATTCCGACACTTTCCAATGCCTTTCCAGATATGAACATTTTTAAACTTTTATGGCAAGTTCAGGTATGCAGTGATTTCCCACTTCATCCCATTCCACACAGATTTTCAGACGTTACAGACTACATTCAGAAAAGAAAATACAGACAAATGCGACACAGCTAGGGCGCCTTGTGCTAAAGCAAATTGTACCTGCTCATGGATCCTCCTGGGGTATACCTGGGCAGCTGCAGTTCAGCTCATTAGCATGCTTTTTGGTTTGAATAGGGAAAAATACAACTTCACAAAACATTTTTTAAGAAACGGTCGTGTTTCAAACAATGATACAAAACAGTTCGACACGATTTAAATGATACATTATTAATGCATTTTTTTTATAGCTGATACTCAAACAGATGACCAGCATGTGATTTCATAACACCAAAAATACATAGAAAACACAATATACATTACAAAATATAGGCTAATTGAACAAAATAAAGCACCTGTGCCTAAATTCAATGTGGTTTAAAATGTTATTAGTGATAACTGCTTTAAAGCAATGCTGAATGATTAAATTTGGCTTTGTCTGATTATTCTCAACATTATCCAGTATAATTTGTGTATTTTCTTCCATTTATGTCATAAGTGCTCCCTGAGACCTAGATACAGTAAATGTGAACTAAAGAAGACTGTCTCTATGACTTTTTGCATGTGCATTGAATTTCAGTCTCGTACCCATAATGCACATTAGATCACTGCTTGCACAGTTATTTGCTGCAGTTAGTATTATTCTTCTCTTTTTGAAACAACTATTACTGCTGTATCGTAAATCTTAGCACCCATAAATCATCTAACCACATATTTGAACAATATTTAGGCAATATGACACTTTCTGAAATTAAACAATGACATGAACAGAGAAATCAGAACGGTCGCACAGACTTCCTGATATTTAAACCTCATGGGAAGGTTAGCTGTGTCCTCACTGGGACGCTTTGTTTGTATCAGTTCTAAAATTCAAGTTTGACACTTAGATGAGAGGGGGAAAAAAGTGTCATTTATAAACTCCAAGTATGCCCTTATATTGCCTTATAATGCAAAGTCTTAACATTATGCACATGATTAAAGTAGTATACAGCTGAAACTTGGACCATGCAACCACATAGTGGTCACATCAGAACCCTGTCATTACACTTGATGCGATCCAAGCGGCTTCTACAACGTTATTACAAGACCAGCTAGTGATTAAAAAACATTGCTAACTCAAATAAAATTAGTTATAAAATAGTACATCAATTACAAAGCCATAAGTCCCTGTAAACAAAAAAAGGATATTGTCCATTTTTCTGGCAGCACCGGGAAAGACAGGACCGTTGTGTGGAGTCACTGTCTGAAGGACTTTGTAGAGTATTTCCTTTACCACAAGCCATAGATGCCACATGCTTCTTCAGAGTGTTCTGTTTTCTTCTCTTTGTTGCTTGTATTTAAACACACAGAATGTACCGTTATCATTCAGTATGTCTCTAGCTGAAGCACACAGGGCCGATGGTGAAGCCAAACTCGTGACTGCTGTTGCCAAAGATTCCTATGTCATGTAGAGGAAGCAGGTCCATGTCCTCAAACTGAAACACAGACTCGCGCGGTCCGGGATCCACTTCATTTGCAGACTGGTACACAAAACATAAACATAAAGGGTTTAAAAATGGTTGTTAAAGGTAAATTCCGCCAAACAAAGTCAAACAAAGAGTCCCAACTTTTCCACTTAGCTGTTATTGGACATTAAGACAGAATCTGAGTTGATGAAAAGCTAATTATAAAATTATGCAACTTTTTTGCATTATTTTCCTGTTACCTCTGTAAAGCTGCTTTGAAACAATCTGTATTGTAAAAAGCGCTATATAAATAAATGTGAATTGACTTAAAAATAAATCACTTAATAAAAAATAAAAAAAATTATATAAAAAAGATTAAAAACAATATTGGTTTACCTGCATGTCATGTGTACATTAACAGACATGGGAGAGTCGTGCATATGCGAATAACTTATTAAATTATTTAAATATTAACTTCAAGTAAATATTGTAGGCCAAAGGGGATCAGCTGACAAAAATCCCTAATGTAAACCAATGGCTTTATTTTAGCAAGCTTACATTCAGGTCAGGCTTTCTACACCTACTTTTCCCAATCTAATCAATTCTCAAAGGATAAAATCAAAACCAGCCCTACATTTTTGATAATAATAATAATAAGATATGGTTCTTGAGCACCAAATCAGCATATTAGACTGATTTCTGAAGGATCATGTGACACTGAAGAATGGAGTAATGGTGCTGAACATGCAGCTTTATCATCTTAGGAATAAATTAAATTTTTAAATATATTTAAATAGAAAACAGGTATTATTTTAAATTGTAATAATATTTCACAATATCATTGTTTTTACTGTATTTTTGATAAAATAAATGCAGACTTGGTGACTTGATAAGTGACTTCTTTCAAAAACATAAAAAAAATGATATAGACCCCAAACTTCTGAATATTACTGTACAGTATAGCAAAATAAATTGATTCACTACTGCAATGAATGAATCGTGGACAAAATATTCACCAGTGATTTAATAAATAAAAAAATCACTTTTTTTATAACTAGTGCCGTTAGACACCACGTACCACGCAATCCTGTAATGCTCCTAAATAGCTCTGCTTCACGGCATCTGTGAGGAACTGGACCTGTCGCTGTGTCTGGCCCAGTCGGTGTCCAGGGTAACAGGAGTACGTCACTCTCTGCTCTGCTCTGTTGCTCTGGAGTCGTAGGAACCGCAGCTGAACCACACTGAGGGCTGGATACTCAAGCTGACCAAAGATGGACAGATGGGATTTGATGATAAAATTGAGAACACAGACAGTTTACTGTATGCAACAACAGGGCTTAAAACTGAAAATAAAAAGAGCAAGAATTTTATGGGTAATAAAAACAACATTATTAGAAGCTATTAACCTGGACAATAAATTAAAGCGCTAAAAGGACAGCTCAATAAAAAAACTAAAAAAAACACTGTCTTCATTTTGTCAGCATCATGTCACTCAAAACATAGTTTATTTTAGTTATTTAAAATTTAATTTTAGTTTAATTTCCAGGTTTTTATTTTCCATACAACAAAAAGGGAGGGTAACTGGGTCCAAAAAAACACATAAAAGTACCATAAAAGTAAACTATTGACTTCTTAAGTATACAAGTCGAGAGTCTGTAAGTCTACAACAAAAAGGGAAGGTAACTGGGTCCAAAAAACACAAAGAGTACCATAAAAGTAACCTATCGAGAGTCTATAAGTCTACAAGCTCTGTGAATTTTCATTTTAGGTGAACTATCTCACAGTCAGACTCCCTTCTTGGCGATAACACAAACTTTGACCCAATAGGAAGTAAACATTTCCACAGACTAATAGGACTACTTACTTTAAAACCTCCCTCCAGTGAACCTAACCAGTAGAACTTGCTGTTATTCCTTAAGTCATTCAGCCAATTCCTTATGGGCAGCTGTGGAAATTGAAAGAGCAATAATAAGATTTTGATGTTTTTTGACATCAAAGAGACACTGTAGTGAGGTGTTAGGTAGAACATTACATGTGCATCTCTGGGGTGAAGGCAGGTCTCTGCTCCTGAATCTGAGAAGTTACAGTAGGCCAAAAAAGCATCTAAAGGACTGCCTTGGTTTGGGTCAATGTAGTAGAAACCTGAAACAGTTACAAAAGTAGTTATTTAACAGACTTCTCTTTCCAAAACAACTTACAGTATGCTTCATAGAACACAGACACTTCTTTCTTTAGTAATGCAGCTGAATTATCTGAACATTGGATGTGCAAAATAGCACCTCATTTACACCTCTTTTTAGTGCTCTTTATGAAATATTCTATTTATCCCAATTGTAGAAGTAATTTGAATACTAAAAAAAACATGTGTTTTGAAGGCCTCATGGCCTACTACATGACTTTGAGAGAAGTCACACGGGAAAGAACGAGATTTTAGCTGAAGAAGCTTGCGGTTGGCATCTGCACTGATACTAAGTTTCTCTTTTGGTTGACATGGCCTTCAACATGTTCTCTTGATAAAAAATAATGAGGCAAAAACACTGAATAATCACTTTGTGGGACAATCAAAATATGTTTTTGAATAGTTGGCAGTCGGCCACCCTTACAAAGAAAACAGGCTAGCCAATTAATGAAGTAACTGTGGTGAGTGTTGGGGAGATTCCAGGAAGAGAAAAGGGAGGAGAGCACCTGCAATTGAGATCATTAGTTAAAACTGTATAAAAGTGTTGCGAGTGAGATGGTCAGATGTTCTGCAGGAATCTCGGCTATGTTGCTTTGTCCAATAAAGTCTAATTTTGACTTCTGAACCTCTGCGTCTTGAGCATTACTTTGCAAGATTGAGAAGACTTTTCTCCACGACACTGTCCACTTGTTGTATCACCTGAGATAGTACTGAGTGTATGCGTTTCCAAAGTTTTTAAAACTCCATAAACCCAACCGCAACCAAAAAATATAATTGTAATGCAAAGATTTCTAAAAGATAGCACAAAGGAGAACATGAACAAACAGATAAATGTTTGAAAGATAGAAAAAGATGAAAGATAGAGGTGGGCTCTGACCACTGGTGTAGTTGGGATGGCACAGCCACAGCTCCAGACAGGTAGAGGCTGGGCGCTGCTTGCTGCCGTCCGGAGGGTCCACCAGCAGCCGGAGGTCATGGTACAGAGAGTCCAGCAGTGTCTGAATCAGAGGGTAATTGGGCTTGTCTAAACTGTACATCAGGTCCTATTGGAGATGAAAAAGACAAAACCATTTACTATGCATTTTACTGTATTTTATTCTATGATATCAGTACAAGATACACCTTCATTCAAATTTAAAATAAAAACATTCTTTACTTCGATAAATGTCTGAATCGTAAATAAAAAAGATAAATGACTGAAAGCAACAACAAAAAAAATGTAAAATGGGCCTTGTTCTTACAAAAAAAATCTAATTTTAAATGTAGACAGAAAATCCCCAAAACTTTGAAATCAGGTTTACTCAAATCTAAATTTCTAGGTGGCTTGGATTGATTGGAAATGCGTCTCAGTCTGGATAGTCTAAATTAAGTACTTCTTCCGTTGTTCAGGATGTATGTAACATCATACAAAATATGCTAATCTTAGTGCATACAGTGAACTATGTGGCATTTGCTAGTGCCGTGTGAACAAGGCTTTAACAACATGATGAATGGTATTAAATTATCAGCAATGTATTTAAGAGAAAAGGGCCATTACGTTTTTAAACAACTTGCCTTGATCTGAGTCATGGTCAGGTTCACAGTTTTACCAGCAGGTCCTGGTGGCCCCGGTGGCCCCTAAAATAATCAAACAAACACAGAAATATATATTTTTGTTTCTGTTTTTCTCTTTCGTATTGTTAAAAACACTGTAAAGTGTGTCTGGCAACTTACTGGAAAGCCCCTTCTTCCAACGGGGCCAGGAGGCCCCTGATATCCCTTGAGTCCCTAAAATTAGAGATATTTTACTGATGTACAAAACTTAACACGGTCAATTTAACATATACTGTAAATAAATAAATAAAATAATTTATATAACTATAAAAATAAAAATAACTTAAAATAATTTCTTTATGTATTTTTATGTTGTTTAATCTGGAACATTGCCTTTTAACCTGATAGATGCTGACTAAAGAAAGCTTTGAAAATTACATTTCATACCTTGTCTCCAAACAAGCCCTGCAGGTTGGAGGAGATAAAAGATAAATAAATTATAAATGATCTTCATGCTCATCCGGGAAAAAATAAAAAATAAAATAAAAAATCTGTGGCTGCGATAAAGCACTTCACTGTCCTTGCTTATGCCATTAAAAATTAATTAACCATGCTTTCATATTTTGAAAGGACAGAGCACATGTAAATGTATCTGCAGCCGATGTGTTAATACAAATTAGGCTACGGTTTAAAAGGCACAGTTTGCTATTAGTTTAAATGCTGAAACATAAAAAAAAAAAGACATATTTACTGGTAGTCCAGGTATTCCAGGTGTCCCTCTAGGCCCAGCTGGACCAATATTGCCCTTTAGGAAAAGTATATGCATTTCATAATTAGTTATGTAGCAGATGCTTTTAACCAAAGCAACTTAAAAATGAAGGAGAAAGAATTTAGAGATATCTAAGATTAATTAACTGTACATGTATTATATTAAAAACTAAGAAAAAACAAAAGAATATGTGTTTTCAAGATGTTTTGACTTTTACCTGATCCCCCTTTGATCCTGGGGGTCCTGGAGGACCAAGAGGCCCCAGACTCCCCTAAAGAGGATAAATAAATACTCTTATAAGAGAACTGAATAGGTTGTACTGCAGAATCATTGGATGTGCTTGTGATGCCCCATACCTTCAAGCCACCTCTCCCTGGTGGACCAAGAGGTCCCTGATCCCCTTTCTCACCCTATCATGGACAGGTTAAGGAATTAACATTAAGAATGTGTTTTTAAGGCACAAAAAGAATCATGTTGGACTACATAATTTAAAAGCACCTCTGCTCCTTTGACACCTTGCTCCCCAGGCTCTCCTTTCACCCCTTGGATTCCCTGTCAAGCATCAAGCATCTTAATATTATCCTATTTTATTCATTCCCACAATGTTATTTAATCCAAAAGATGTGCCAATTTTGAAATGGACTGTTCTGACCAGGAGTATCAATCTTACCATACTTCCCCCCCATCCAGGAAGTCCTTTCTCTCCTACATCTCCTCTCTCTCCCTATTGGACAAGGAGGAGGCAAGAAGGAAATACCTAACTTGTCCAATTCAAGCCATGGGTTTATAAAATTAAGCTTGTCATGTGTTTAAATGCCAAGTTGATATAATCTCTGAACTCTGACCTTTTCTCCTCTTGGTCCTCTGGTCCCCCTCAACCCTGCCTTTCCTCTTTTACCCTTTATGTCAAACACCCCAAAAAAAGTTTGAGTTTTTCAATCATAATCACCACAATTTTACAAATGTTTGTCCTGCATTATGACATAAATGACATCAGAGTCTAAAATAACCTAAGTATATTCATGACAATTTAATGTCACTAAACTTCGTTGTCTTTTATTAAGAGATTTGGAAACATTTAATAGAATCTAAGAGAGCACAAAAGGCACTTTTGAGGGCATATCACATCTTACCCTCCGTCCAATGTGACCCATTTTTGCAGGTGCTCCATCTTTGCCCTGAGTTCCCTAAAAATGCATCAATAACCAAATTCAAATTTGAAATGAATTTGCAGATAAGAGTCCTGGGAAATCTGTATGCTTAAAACACAGCTCTCATATCTGACAGCAAGGACAAAGGCATAGAGGAAGAACTTTTATTTTAGATAGCAGACAGGGATTAAGACAGAGAAAAGAACATTGTGACCTTACCTTCTCTCCTTTCATGCCTTCTTTTCCTTCAGTTCCTGGGTTACCCAAACGGCCCTGCAACAACCAAAACTCATTAAGGGCCTGATGATTAAGCAAGCAGAGTTGAAACAAAGGCATTAAATTAAGGTGTATCTATTTGTTGTCTCTTTTCTGTAAATGTACACTTTTGTCTGGGAACTGACCTGAGTTCCTGGTAGGCCTGGCGAGCCCCTTGCCCCTTCCTCACCTTGTGGACCCTAAGGTAGTAGATTTGAATTGATATAACTGGGTTAATCAAACACATGTACTGTATTTCTATATACAGCCAACCAAAAAAATCCACATCAACTGATTTTAATGTCTGTACCTCCAAACCAAGCAGTCCTGGTGGCCCTTGTATGCCTTGAAGGCCGTCTGGGCCCTAAAGGGAAGAGATGAGTTCATTTTGAACATGAAGTAGATTTATTTACGATTATTTTAATTTTCCATCTAAGTGGAATTCATCACAAGCTCACCTCCACCCCTAGTTCTCCTTTATCTCCTGGGTCTCCTTTCTCCGCTTCAGGCCCTGGGAGACCTTTAGGGCCCAAATGACCTTGGGGACCAAATGATCCAACACCACCCTGTAGGTCAAGGTATGATCATGAATCGGTTACTCTGAGGTAAAACACATTGATTGTCCCCTGTTGTTCCAAAGAATAGGCTATCATCTGGGAGATGAATATAAACATGAACAAATTATCTTTACCTGTGTGCCGGCTTTTCCTGAGTCACCTCGTACGCCTTTGCGACCTGCAATTCCCTGAGGCACAAAGCAAAGATATGAATAACGAGAACATACATAAAACAGCTTTTTTTTTTTTACATTCAAAGTAATGCAAATAAGATGTTCCATGTTATGAGCTTTGCAGAATATATTAATATAGTAATGTGTTTTCATTTCAAGTGGATCATAACCTCAGGTCCAGCATCTCCTGGCTCACCAAGTAAACCATTCAGCCCAACTTCTCCCTAAAAGAGACACTTATATTTAGACCATAAAAAGAAATTAAATAATCCAAAGATGCTCTAAGTGAACAATCAAATGTGGCACCTTGCTTCCTGGAGGTCCATCTAGCCCCACCAGCCCTGGATGGCCTGGTCCACCCTGAAACACAAGAAAACAACCATATCAAACAGGAATATAGGAGTTAATCATTCTCAGGTGAAACATATCATAGAGTATGATAAACTCTAGTAAAATAAGGATACTACACACCTCTACACCTTTCAGACCAGCAGGTCCATTCCCGCCCATGAGGCCTGACTCACCCTGACATAAAAACAGCAAACGATCAACAAAAATGCAATAAAATTGGACAAAAAAAGTCAAGATACCATGCATTTTACATGGTAAAAGAACATGACACATATTTTAGTGTTTTCCATTTAGGAAAAATACCTGCACCTCCATTCAAAAGTTTAAAGTCAGTAAGATTTTTTAAAGCTTCTGAAAGATGTCTCTTGCTTACCAATACATTTATTTGATCAAATGTACAGTAACATACAACACTAATATTGTGAAATATTATTACATTTTAAAATAACTCATCTACTTTAATATATTTTAAAATGTAATTTCTTTCTGTGATGGTCAGGCAGAATTTTGAGCGCCAATACTCCAGTTTCACATGATTTAATGATAAAAGTATTAAAATATACAGATTTAATTTATTATTAATGTTGAAAACAGTTTGTTCTGATTAATATTTTTGCATTTACTTGAAATACATATTTTTTTGTAATATTATAAATGTCTTTACTGTCTCTTTTAATCAAATTAATGAATCCTTGCTGAATAAAAAAATACTGATTTCTTTCCAACAGTAGCGTACATCAAATGATACGATAAACAGAGAAGATACTTAATAAAAACATGTTAGGGTAAATAAAATGTCATGCAAACAAATGCATAATATAAAATGCTAATTTGCACTCACCACCAGTCCAATTTGGCCCTTGGCTCCCTTGAGTCCCTTCTCTCCCTGCTCCCCCACGTCTCCCCACGGCCCATCTAAACCAGTAAATCCTCGCGGCCCAATATCACCCTGAGGGAAAAAAAGAAATATAGTACAACACCATTTTCCCTTGTGAAATGACACTATAGCTATAAAAGATGAATGACCTTTTCTCCTTTAGGGCCAGGGTCTCCAGCAACGCCAACTGGACCAGCATCACCCTTCATCAGGAGAAAAACACCAATATTACTCTTTTAAAAGACAGTGAGACTGATCGTATTTGAGACAGATGACTTTAGGGGTAAATTGCAAAGTTGTGCCGACATTAAGAAATTAATCTCCACACCTCATTGCCTGCTGGGCCTGGTGGACCCATTGGACCTTTAGCTCCTGGAGGGCCAATGTTTCCTTTTGGTCCTTGAAGACCAAGCTTTCCGAAGGGACCTCTGTCCCCCTGCCAGTAAAAAATAAATGTTAAAAAAATACAAGAAAGAAAAAACTACATTAATGTTATTTTTGTCTATAATTTTATGATAATGCATTTAATTTCAATTGTCACCTGACCTTATCACCTTTTCTTCCAGGAGGCCCCTCCAAACCCGTCGGACCAGTTGGACCCTACAGAGGTCAGAAAGCTTTCATCATATCTCAGTTGGCACCAATTTATTAAAGCTATAACCATTTGAGAATGTGTCATCGTGATTTTACTCTGGTTCATTAAAACACCACATAGCTTAATGTTTTAGTTTGCTATTCTGTACTGACCATAAAGATCAAATAATTTTGCAGTGCCAATCTAACCTGTGGCCCTTCCAGTCCGAGAGGCCCGTTGTCACCAGGAGGGCCCATCATTCCCTGTGCATTTATAGCAACTTTTAGTGATTTCATAAGGAAACACAATTTGAGATACTCTAAATCTCTTAAATTACTTAAATCACCTTTTCTCCTTTCATCCCGTCTACACCTGGCACTCCATTTTCCCCCTGTAAACCCTGAAGAAAGAAAGGAAACAATTTTAACTTGATGTCCATCAACGTCTTTCAAATGGCAAAGCTTTTAAAATCCATCATCATGTATGGTAGGGAGAATTTTCACTTACTGGAATACCCTGGGGCCCGTTTGGCCCAGGTTCCCCTGAGAGCCCTTTACTTCCACTGGGTCCTGATTTTCCAATGACCCCACTGACTCCCTGAAGTCCTGGAGGACCCTATATAGACAATCAATCATAATCAACGTTTGAAAATTAACAGCCAAACTGAGATATAATGTAAATGAAAGAGCTGATTGTGTGCTCACACATGGCCCATCTGTTCCCTGATGCCCGGGATCTCCCTGACGGCCCTGCAGAGAGGTAACCCATTTATTTTACAAAGGAAACAAATGAAACCTTCTATATTTCAGCACTGCGTTATGAGAAATCAAACTTCACTGAATGAGTTAGGTCAGGATCTTTTATTTTCTTCGAGAAGTGGTATATACCTGGGGTCCTGGCAGGCCTTTTTCTCCTACTGGACCAGGGGGACCCTAAAAAACACACATAAAGGTTAACAGTATTAGTCACCACATGCAAATGGCAGTGTTACAGCAGTGGAAACTGAAATAGATTTTTCCATAGAATGAAAGAAATGAAGGTACAGCAACTGAAGTATAAAATAAAAATGATCTGCTCGATTTAGCTCGATGTACTAGATCCATCATACACTTACTGGTGGTCCAGGCTTTCCAGGTGGTCCAGGAGACCCTCTTAGACCTGTCTCTCCCTATGACAAAACAAATGTCTTTTTTTAGATAAAGTTACTATTAAGAAGACTAAAAACAGTGAGGCTTTGCTTTAAACCCAAGTGAGCTGTCTACATTTTTAGTCATCATCATAATAAGAAGGTTGTTCCAAGCTTATAATGGATAGGAAAATCCCATAATGCATAGTGACAAACTCAGAAAGTGATATGTTGATCAATAAAATACTTTATTTTACAATTAAAGGTATTATGAAACATTATTTAAAAAAATATTTAAAAAAAATATATTCAGTTACAGTACTGAGAAATATTGAGTTTAAATATACAGCCGTTCAAATGTTTGTGGTCAGTAAGATTTTTTTTAACGTTTTGGAAAGAAGTCTCTTATGCTCACCAAGGCCGCAATTATTTTATAAAAAAAATACAGTAAAAACCGTAATATTGTGATATTACAATTTAGGCTGAATTTTCAGCAGCCACTACTCAGTAGCGCAGTAGTGCTTCTCCAGTCTTTAGGGTCACATGATCATTCATAAATCATTCCATTCTAATACGCTTATGTAGTGTT